TTTTCATCTTCTTTCATCTCTTCTCACTCTCGAAACTAAAGTAAGGATGTGAGAGATGTAACATCTCCACTCACTTCCCCATCCGGGAGCTGTGATTTTTTTCAGAGGAAGAGAGAGAAGTGCCGTTTGATTATTGTTTAGGGGCAATTGCGACATCTTCCTGGAAAGTTAAGCACAAGGAGAGATCAAATGCTCTGATTTGAAGTCCAGTTGTATTCGCAGCTCACGTGAGGAAAATGTGAAATCAAGGAAAAAAACAGCTGAATAAAAGTAAACCCAAATCCAAATGATAGTGAAGTTCGAGCAAAATATTGTGGAAATGTGAAGAAATGACGTGCTGCAAGCCAGTGGAAGATGGATACTGATAATTTATTATCGAGTGTATGGGTATGTTAAAAAAAAAAAAAACAAAAACAACCCAGGTGGAATCCACTTCTTAGGCTCTTGGACCACCATGCAGTTAGCTTCTACCTGCTGTTCCATGGAAAGTCCCTCTGGAATCACCTGCTACCTCATAGGTCCAGGCAGAGTCAAAGTGGGTGCCAGCCACCCATCTTAATGAATCAGTGCTGATGGAGTGCCAGGAAATAATTAATGCATTCAATTTCTTATTCTGAGGATGGTTAAAAAGTGAGATTTGTAAACAAAATTGCGTCTGAACCATTGAAGTCTTTGGTTAGCCTATCATGGCCTTGGTTGTCCTTCCATTTGTTCTGCTAGGAAGGGCTGTTATCACTTTTCAACATCTTGTATTCTCTTTTATTAATTCTTTGGGCCCCTTTTGTGATTATGATATGGTTTGAGCTGTGATTTTTATGATTCATGTCACTTTGGTGTTTATTAGAACTGCATGTTGCTGGGTACAGTTCATCACAACTGCATATTACGGGCTCAGGCCTGTACTCACAGCATTTTGAGGGGCTGAGGTGGGAGGATCACTTGAGCCCAGGAGTTAAAGAGCAGCCTGGCAGCATGGCAAAACTCCATCACTACAAAAAATATAAAAGCTAGCTAGGTGTGATGGGTGCATCCATAGTCCCAGCTACTAGGGAGACAGAGGTGGGAGGATTGCTTGGGCCTGGGAGGTCAAGGCTACAGTGAGCCATGATAGCACCACTGCACTCCAGGCTGGGTGACAGAGCAAGATTCTATTTCAAAACAAAACAAAACAAAATAAAAACCCTGCATGTTGGGGTGGTACATCTTGATGTCAGAATGAGCAGAGCACCTAGCTCCATCTTAGGGATTTTCCCATTGCCAGTGAGCTGGAACTCTCTCTTACATGATGTCAGCAGTCCTGAAGGAGGTAAGATAGAGTGAGACCCACCACACCACTGGAAAAACATCTTAAAACTGAGGTGAAGGTCACAGATGTTAGTTCCTGCATCTTGTAGTGATACCTTTACTCCCTAGGAGAGGTTGTCAGCTACGAATGATTGGGGAAACACTTAACAGTACGGATGGTGTGAGTAAACCTGTATCCCTGGAGCGAGATGACCCTACTTATTCTTGCACAATGACTAAAGAAGAGACTATATGCTGAAATGCATTAGATCTGTATATGCCTTATTCCTGGGCACAGTTGGACCCACAGTAGAGCGATGCTCTTGGGAAGGGGCTCTAACTCTCCTGTTATTATCCTTTGTACTAAATGGAGAGAGCAAATAATATGCAGTCTAGATTTGCATACCAACTACTCAAAGAGTCACAGACAGATATCTTGCAGCTAGCTACCTGCTATCATGGATATCAAATCCCTGGTGTGATAGAACCTGGACACATTGTGCAAAGCTGAAAATAATAGAATCTCCTCCCATTGGAGAAGGAGGAGCCACTAATCTCAGGCAGCTTCTTGTCAGGCAATGTGGAGGTAGCCACCAATATTATCCAGCAGAAACTCCTGTTTACCTCTCCAAAATAATATATGAAAAAGAGAATAGGCTAGGTGCGGTGGCTCAAGCCTGTAATCCCAGCACTTTGGGAGGCCGAGACGGGCGGATCATGAGGTCAGGAGATCGAGATCATCCTGGCTAACAGGGTGAAACCCCGTCTCTACTAAAAAATACAAAAAATTAGCTGGGCGTGGTGGCGGGCACCTGTAGTCCTAGCTACTCAGGAGGCTGAGGCAGGAGAATGGTGTGAACCCGGGAGGCAGAGCTTGCAGTGAGCTGAGATCCGGCCACTGCACTCCAGCCTGGGTGACAGAGCGAGACTCCATCTCAAAAAAAAAAAAAAAAAAAAGAAAAAGAGAATAATACATTGTGAGGACATATGTTAATTTTTGCATTTATAGAAAGGGAAGGAGGATAGAATATGGGTAAATATTCAGAAACAGATGAGGTTATGGGTTTGGTGGAGGAATTGAGGTAATTACACACAGCAGGTTTCTATTTTCTTTATTAACAGCAGGTTAGGTCATTTGTTGAGAATGAAGTGAGCAGCATCTGGTTCAGAGGTTTGAGGAAGGTGGAGAAGTATAAAAATAGTCACTGTGGACAACAGGAAAGAGATTTTCCTGGAGAAGAACTGCAGGATTTCTGGACAGTTACAGTTTGAAGCCATGAATTTTTAATGGTATCAATCTCAGTGGTTGTGTGATTATTCTCTAGCAGTGATTGAATCAGCAGTCCAGGTATAAATATGAAGAAGGTAGACTTTGGGATGAAGCAGGGTTGAAAATTTACTTTATGGCATTGTGTCAGGGTGGTTGCACTTAATATTACCATTTGTTGCCATTACTTTTAATGGCAAAAACCGCTATTGTTTTTGCACTAACCTAATATATCGGTAGAGAACAATTGTAATGATAAAAGTATTTAGGACATGGCCATAGGGCCTGAAGTTTGAAGTGGAATGGGAATAAAGATAATGAAATGAGGCAATGGAAAAGCTAAGAGTCTTAGAAATGTAGCTTAGACTCCAAAGCAGACTAAAATACCAAGGAACCAGTGAAACATTTGATGAAGAATGAATCAATTACTTTTAAAATTTAGGAAACATGAAGTAACTTAATGGCAATAACTATTTTATGGCTATTTTTGTGGGTTCCTCCTTTTGCTTATACCCCACAGGAAACTCTTATTTCCTCCAGCTTGAACTGTGTTAGAGCTAGATGGGAGTCTGCAGTTGTCCACTGAGGAGCCACGATGGTTACAAATACTCAACCATCATACAGGTCCATGGTTTCTCAACTCACAGGGATGAGTGAAAAAGTAACCAGAAGCTGAGGGAAGAAAAATTGGACTTCTAATGACAGGAGAGAGTGAAATGAAGAAATGAAAGTTCTTACAAGAGAGACATAGCCTTTAGTGAGGCCAACACAGCGCATCGTCAGCCCGTAGACCAAAGTCAATTGCTTAGCTTACCTGTGCTTATGTGTCTGCCCAGACCCTTCCCACCTGCAGATCCATCCCACACAGACAGTGTTCCACCTGAATGTGAAATGCATTCACTGATTTCTCTAACTCACACCCTCGTACATCTCCCTATGTTAGAATAGAAGGTGGAATACTTAGAAAGATAGTGGGATAAGAAAGCCCTGCTCTTGATCAGGATTGAATTATATAAAATTAGTTTTAAATCTGCTTCTGAGTTGTGTAACAGAAACTCACAAGACTCCTGCAATCAGAATTATTATTATTATTATTTATTATACCTTAAGTTCTGGGATACATGTGCAGAACATGCAGGTTTGTTACATAGGTATACACGTACCATGGTGGTTTGCTGCACCCATCAATCCATTATCTACATTAGGTATTTCTCCTAATGCTATCGCTCCCCTAGCCCTCCACCCCGGGACAGACCCTGGTGTATGATGTTCCCCTCCCTGTGTCCATGTGTTCCCATTGTTCAACTCCCACTTATAAATGAGAACATGCAGTGTTTTGTTTTCTGTTCCTGTGTTAGTTTGTTGAGAATTATGGTTTCCAGCTTTATCCATGTCCATGCAAAGAACATGGACACATCCTTTTTAATGGCTGCATAGCATTCCATGGTGTATATGTGTCATATTTTCTTTATCAAGTTTATCATTGATTGGCATTTGGGTTGGTTCCAAGTATTTGCTATTGTGAACAGTGCTGCAATAAACATATGTGTGCATATGTCTTTATAGTAGAATGATTTATAATCCTTTGGGTATATACCCAGTAATGGGATTGCTGGATCAAATGGAAATTCTGGTTCTAGATCCTTGAGGAATTGCCACACTGTCTTCCACACTGGTTGAACTAATTTACATTCCCACCAACAGTGTAAAAGCATTCCTATTTCTCTACATTTTCTCCAGCATCTATTGTTTCCTGACTTTTTAATGATTGCCATTCTAACTGGCATGAGATGGTATCTCATTGTGATTTTGATTTGCATTTCTCTAACGACCAGTGATGATGAGCATTTTTTCATATATCTGTTGACTGCATAAATGTCTTCCTTTATCAGAATTATTTTTAAAGGTAGTTTTGAGAAAGAGAATTTGGGACTATACTGCAGAAAGTCTTAAATTTCAAGATAAGGAATTTAGACTTTATTCTAAGATTCTAAACTAAGGCTCTCCCCTTTGGGGACAGAAAGATAACATGTTGGAAGTAGCACTTTTAGAAGATTCATGAGATGCTGGTGGATGGATGAAATGTGTGTTTGTTTCACCTTACATCAATGGGAAATTTGTCTTTTGTTCACTATCAACAGATCTTGTAGTTTCTTCCTAAATAATGTCTTTAAATAGTTTTCCTTTTTCTTCTATTATTCTCTCAATTTCATATGCAGCCACTGTCATTTTTTTCTCTTAATTTGCTCTCAGACATCCACCTTTCCTCCTTTAGTTCAAAAATGCCAGTTGTTTTTGTCTTTTTAGTAACTTTTGTGGAAGAAGATCACCCATTGAACTAATCAAAAACCTCTCAGTGGTCTCATTTTAATTAAATAAAAATCTCTAATTATGAGTTCAAGGTACTTCTGTCTATTTCTTATCTAATTTAATTTCCTTTATTTCTTAGGATTGCCTCCTTTACTGTATGTTTTCCAGTGAGATGAAGATTTTGGTCATTTCCTCATTCATATTCCTGCTTTTCAAAACCCAAGCAAGAAAGGAAACTTCTGCAGTGACTTTCTCATTATGAAATCTTAGCATTCACTAACCGGCCATGATGGACAACCAGCCAAATGGACACATATACACTAGTCTGTACCTGCAGAGAAAGAACTGCAAATCTCTGTGATCAGAAAACTATCCTATCTTGTACATTATTAAAAGTCTGCCTCCAAAAAGTTTACTTCTGGAATACTGTAATTGAATAGAATCAGGGATCCTACCTGTGTCCTTCAACTTTCACTTCTTGTCTACTGAAGTAAAGGTTGAATTTGCATTAGACCCAATGCAGTAGACCCAGTAGTCTGTGAATGGAAATGGGCAAACCTGTGACCTCCCAAAAATTAAATGTGAAAGTTTTGTTTGTGTATACTCGTGGCATTATTCTTTTAATGAAGAGATAATCTGTATACTTTTCTTTTTTAAAAGATACTTTTATTTCTTTATTGTTGTGAACTGACACAGCTAATTTCTTTCTGAAGAGGTTCTTTGGTTGAGAATGGTAGCAACTAGTTTGATGTAGGGGGTGAGAGTTAGCAGTCCCCCAAAATCTTACTTTCAGGTTATAATGAAAGAAATCTCTTACAAAATTTTTACACAAGGTGAAGGCTGCTCTCTGCTTCCAAGATATCCTCTTCTCACTGCAGCCTCACATGACAGAAAGGCAAAAAGGGATTAATGCTCTGTCCTCACATGCAGAGAGATGGAAGGGCCAGGCAGCTCTCGGAAACCCCTTTTACAAGGTCATTAATCCCATTCACAAGGGTGGAGCCCTCATGACTTAATCACTTCCCAAAAATTTTTTTGTTTTTTCATGATTATGGGTACACAATTGTTATGTATATTTATGGGGCACATGTGATGTTTTGATACAGGATACAACGTGTAATAATTACATCAGGGTAATTGGGTATCCATCACCTCAAGAATTTATCATTTCTTTGTGTTAGAAACATTCCAGTCTACTCTTTCAATATTTTAAAATATACAATAAATTACTGTTGACTGTATCATCCTGATGTGCTACCAAATACTAGACCTTATTCATTCTATCTAACTATATTTTTGTCCCCATTAACCATCCTCACTTTTTCCCCTCCACCCTGATCCCCTTCCCAGCCTCTAGTAGCCAATATTCTACTCTCTGTCTCCATGAAATCAGTTGTTTTAACTTTAGCTCCTGCACAGGAGTGAGAACACGCAAAATTTGTCTTTCTATGTCTGGCTTAGTTCACTTAACAGAATATACCCCAGTTCAATCCATGTTGTTGCAAATGACAGGAGTTTCTTCTTTTTTTTGGTTGAATAATATCTCATTGTGTATATGTACCACATTTTCTTTATGCATTCATTTGTTGATGGAAACTTTGGTTGATTCCAAATTGTGGCTATTGTGTATAGTGCTATAATAAACTCTGGAGTGCAGATATCTCTTTCATATACTGATTTCCTTTCTTTAGGATACATGCTTAACAACGAGATTGCTGGATCATATGTTAATGATCCATACGCAGAAGAATGAAATTAGACCTCCATCTCTTGCCATATACAAAAATCAAAGCAAAATGGATTAAAAGCTTAAATCTAAGACTCCAGTCTGTAAAACTACTACAAGAAAACACTGGGGAAACTCTTCAGGACATTGGTCTGGACAAATATTTCTTGAGCAATACCCCACAAGTACAGGCAACCAAAGCAAGAATGGACAAATGGGATTACATCAAGCTGAAAAACTTCCGCATAGCAAAGGAAACAATCAACAAAGTCAGGAGACAATTCACTGAATGGGAAGAAACACTTGCAAACTACCCATTGACAAGTGCTTAATAACCAGAATATATAAGGAACTCAAACAAGTCAAAAGGAAAAAATAAAATAATCTCATTTAAAAATGGGCAAAAGATCTTAATAGACATTTCTCAAAAGAAGAAATACAAATGGCCAATAGACACATAAAAAAAGCCAACATCATTGATCATCAGAGAAATACAATTTAAAACAACAATGTAATTTCATCTCAGCCATTAAAATGGCTTTTATAGAAACAAATGCTGGCGAGAATGTGGAGAAAGAAGACATCTCATACACTGTTGGCGGGAATGTAAATTAGGATAGCCACTATGGGGAACAGTATGGAAATTCCTCAAAATACTATGCTGAAGTATTGAAAGTTAATAACAGGTACCATAATATTTATGCATATAACATACATATATAAAATTTTACATAAATGTAGAGAGCTCATCATATATGCTCTGTTTTTATTATTATTATACTTTAAGTTCTAGGGTACATGTGCACAATGTGCAGGTTTGTTAGATATGTATACATGTGCCACGTTGGTGTGCTGCACTCATTAACTTGTCATTTACATTAGGTATATCTCCTAATGTTATCCCTCCACCCTCCCCCGTCCCCACAATAGGACCTGGTGTGTGATGTTCCCCTTCCTGTGTCCAAGTGATCTCATTGTTCAATTCCCACCTATGAGTGAGAACATGCGGTATTTGGTTTTCTGTTCTTGCACTAGTTTGCTGATGCTGGAAATGATGGTTTCCAGCTGCATCCATGTCCCTACAAAGGACACGAACTCATCCTTTTTTATGGCTGCATAGTATTCCATGGTGTATATGTGCCACATTTTCTTAATCCAGTCTGTCTGATGGACATTTGGGTTGATTCCAAGTCTTTGCTATTGTGAATAGTGCGCAATAAACATACGTGTGCATGTGGTCTTTATAGCAGCATGATCTATAAATCCTTTGGGTATATCCCCAGTAATGGATGGCTGGGTCAAATGGTTATTCTAGTTCTAGATCCTTGAGGAATCGCCACACTGTTTTCCACAATGGTTGAACTAGTTTACTGTCCCACTAACAGTGTAAAAGTGTCTATTTTCTCCACATCCTCTCCAGCACCTGTTGTTTCCTGACTTTTTAATGATTGCCATTCAACTGGTGTGAGATGGTATCTCATTGTGTTTTGATTTGCATTTCTCTGATGGCCAGTGATGATGAGCATATTTTCATGTGTCCTGTGGCTGTACAACTGTTTGCTTTGAGAAAGTGGTCGTGTTCCATATCGCTTGCCACTTGTTTTGATGGGGTGTGTTTGTTTTTCTTATAATTTGAGTTGAGTTTTATTATACGTTGCTGGATATATTAACCCCTTTGTCAGATGAGTAGATTGACACAAAAAGTTTCTCCCATTCTGTAGGTTGCCTGTTCACTTTCTGGATGGTAGTGTCTTTTTTGTGCAGAGCTCTTTAGTATTAATTAGATCCCATTTGTCAATTTTGGCTTTTGTTGCACTGCTTTTCGGTGTTTAGACATGAGAGTCCCTGCCCATGCCTATGTCCTGAATGGTTATACCTAGGCTTTTCTTCTAGGCTTTTTATGGTTTTAGTCTAACATTTAAGTGTCTCCAATCCATCTTGAATTAATTTTTGTATTAAGGAGTTAAGGAAAGGATCTCAGTTTCAGCTTCTACTTATGGCTAGCCAATTTTCCTCAGCACCATTTAGTGAAATAGGGAATCTTTCCCCATTTCTTGTTTCTCTCAGGTTTGTCAAAGATCAGGATGGCTGTAGATGTGTGGTATTTATTTCTGAGGACTGTCTGTCCATTTGTCTATTCTCGTTTGGTACCAGTTACCATGCTGTTTGGTTACTGTAGCCTTGTAGTATAGTTTGAAGTCAGTAGTGTGATGCCTCAGCTGTCTTTTGATTAGGATTGTCTTGGGCAATGTGTCTTTTTTGGTTCATGTGAACTTTAAAGCGTTTTTTTCCAATTCTTATGTAAAGAAAGTCATTGGTAGCTTAATGGGGATGGCATGAATCTAGTTAAATTACCCTTGGAAGTATGGCCCATTTTCACAATATTGATTCTTTCCAATCGATATATGAGCATGGTATGTTCTTCCCATTTGTTTGTGTCTTCTTTTATTTCACTGAGCGCAGTGGTTTGTAATTCTCGTGAAGGAGTCCTTTTTACTGGACATCCGCCTTGTAAAGTTGATTCCTAGGTATTTTTATTCTCTTTGAAGCTTTGTGAATGGAGTTCAGTTCATGATTTGGTTTCTGTTTGTCTGTTACTCGCTCCCGGCGGCGCTAGAGAGAGAAAGTGGACAGGGAAAGAGAAAAAGTGGGATGGGAGAGAGAGCAGAGAAGGGAGGGCGAGGTTGTTGTATGTGTGCGCCGGTTGCCTGCCGTTTTTGGTTTGTGAAGAGAGAGAGCAGGGCTCAACTCTTGCAAGTTCCCTGGGTGCTGTCTTCCTTTTTCATGGCAACTT